TAGGGTGAAAGTATTGGCTGGGCCAGGCCTGAGACTCAGAACTCTTTCCCCCTCCCTGCCCCCACCTCTCCCCAGGAAGGGGACTAGAGACTTTGGGAGCCCCAGCAGATGGTAAAACTCAGTGAACATTGACAGAGCTCCCCTCCCCCTCCCACCTTAAATCTCACTGTGGCCCAGCTGCCCCGGGTTGGGGCACAGAGGCGCCCATTTCTCTGGGGGCCCCCAATTGGCCATGTCCCCTGGGCACAGGTCCCATTGGCCCAGTGGCTTTTCCGCCACTGGGAAGCAGGTACAGAATAGGTGGTGATAAAATATGATCTTTAATTACCTTCTTCTATAGGTGCCACAGATCTTCTCCACCCTAAAACCAGCCACATAATTAGAGAGGAGAGCAGATTTGAACATGTATTGCATGATTCAATATTGTACAAACTAATACACTGAGGGAAAAAGAAAGTTGTAAGTTCATCAGAACCTCCACTGGACTGCATGAGTGTTTCTCTCCCAGGGTGGATCTTCACTGTAGAGTTAGCTCAGGATCTTATCTGGCTGTTGCCCCAACTTGTTTAATGCGCCAGAACAAAAAATCTGACTCAAGTTTGGTGGTGCTTTGCACCCAGGTTAGCTGGCAAGACTTTGGATATAGGCTGTAGCCCAGGTACCACTTTAATTCAGGTTGGTTACATGCCTACTTTGCAGTGTGGAGGGAAGATAATAATCTCAGGCGCTGATAGTCCACCAGTGCCTTCGCACAATTCCTCCTGGGCCATATTGTTTTGGCCATTACCTACTCTATTACTGTATTCCTTATCAATTTTTCAAATTAGCTTTTAATGTGAAATTCATCCAGTTTAGTCTTTTTCCACATTTTATAAAGTTACATTAACAAACAACCCCCCAAAGAATGATGATGATGATGATGATAATAATAATAAAAAAAGCAAACAAACGAACTAAAAATGTGTCCTATTAAAAGCAAACAACCCCACCACAATTAAATAAACAGCCACATAAGATTCCAAACTGGTACAAAAAGTTTTTTTTCTTCCAGAGGAAGGATAATGATACTTACTTATCTCGTTATCTCGTTTCTCTGAAAATGAAAGAGATCTTAAATGATCTTAAACTCTGTGATTCTATTTTTATATTGCTTATCTATTTTTCAAATTAGCTTTTAGTGTGAAATTCATCCAGTTTAGTCTTTCCCCACATTTTATAAAGTTACATTAACAAACAAACCCCCAAAGAATGATGATGATGATAATGATCATAATAATAAAAAAAGCAAACAAACTACAAATGTTTCCTATTGCAACAATTTTAAAATTTAAATCTAAAAGCAAACAACCCCACCACAATTAAACAAACAGCCACATGAGACTCCAAACTGGTACAAGAAGTTTCTTTTCAGAGGAAGAATAATGATACTTACTTATCTCGTTATCTCGTTTCTCTGAAAATGAAAGAGAAAGAAATAGTATTTTTTAGGCATTTCCCTTTTCTTATGTTTTATTTCTCTTGATCATCAATACAACAGAAAAGGCTGAGAGAAATCAACATCTTCAGGACATCAGACAAGAGGATCCAGTGGTCCCTTCTGGTCTTAAACTCTGTGACTCTATTGCATCTCAGTTTTTCAAATTAGCTTTTGGTATGAAATCTCTCCACTTTAGTGTTTCCCCACATTTGATACAATTACACTAACCCTTCCACAAAAGAATAATAATAAAAAGCAAGTAAACAAAAAAAGAGGTTTCATATTACAACAAAATCGTAGAAGTTAAATTTTACAGCGAACTCCACAATATTTAAACAAACTGCCACATGAAGATCCAATTACAAAAAAAAAATCCTTTTCAGAGGATGGAGAATGACACTTACCAATTTCTATATCTCGTTTTCCTAAAAATTAAACAGACACAAAATATATGTTAGGTATTTTGCTTTTCTTAAGTTTTATTTCTCTTTATCATCACTATGACAGTTAAGACAGATTACTTCTATTCTTCAGGAAATCAGACAAGACCAGTGGGGCCCAAACTTTTCCGATCACTCCCCTCTTGAGTAATGGAATCTGTCTGTGCCCCCCCCCGCCCCCATTACTGCCCAGTTGGCTCAGCAGTGGCTCTTGGGCTGAAGGCGGAGCTGGGTGCAGAACTGGGGATGGGGGAGGAGCTGGGGCTAGAGGCAGACCTGGCCTGGGGGAGGAGCGGGAATTTGGTAGGAACTGGCCTGGGGGCAGAGCAAGGGGAGGACTGGATCTGTGGCAGGGGCCACAGCTTGATGGGGGGGTAGGGGGCGGAGCGCAGCTGCAGATGGGATTGGATCTGGGCTGGGGGCAGAGCGGGGCTGGGGGGGGCTCCCTCCCCTCTCCCCTTGGGGGATGGCAGGGACCCTGCCTTGCACCTGCTCAGGGCCGGATTAAGAAAGGGGCTTTATGGGCTGCAGCCCAAGGCCCCAGGCAAATGGGGGCCCCGCAAAAAGATCTCCAGACCACCAAAAAGGCAGATATTTTTGTGAGGCCCCCTTACCCCGGGGCCGTGGGCTGCAGCCACTAAAGTCCCTGCATTCTAGCCCAGCCTGGCATTGGTGGGGAGGTGGATCTGCGCGCTGGCATGCCATTCTCCACTCCCACGCTGGGCTGGAGCTGCGAGTGCCGGGAAGCTCAGTCCGCGTGCTTCCTTCACTTGCAGGCACCTCCCCCACAGCTTGCATTGGCCAGGAATCACAGCCAATGGGAGCTGTGGGGGGCGGTGCCTGCATGCGAGCACAGGACAGCACACGGAGCCACCTGCCCCCCCTCCCTGGGGCCTGTGCCACCAAAAGGGAGCTGTCCCAGGTAAGCGCCCCAAACCACAGCCCTCCACCCCAACCCTGTGCCCCCTCCCATACCGTAACTCCCTCCTTGATCCCACACCCCCAACCTCCTGCCCTGAGCCCTCTCCCATCCTCCAATCCCTGGGGCACCAGCCTGGAGCCCCCTCCTGCATCCGAAAGCCTTCATCCCCAACCCCACCCCAGAGCCTACACACCCAGTTGGAGCCCTCACCCTCTTCCACACCCACCTGCTGTCCCAATCCACAGCCCTCTCCTGCACTCTGAATCCCCCATTTTTTGGCCCTACCCTGGAGCCTATGGGGGCGCCACAAACTCTAATAGTCCTGGGCCCTTAGAAGAGTTAATCCGGCCCAGCGCCCACTTGAACATTCCTCCACATGCCCCAGGGGCCTGCCCCACAGTCTGCAGATCTCTGGACTAGAGGATCCAGTCGTCCCTTCTGGTCTTAAACACTATGACTCTATAACTATATTGCTAAAAGTTATTCAAATTAACTTTTGGTGTGAAATTCATCCAGTTTAGTCTTTCCCCACATTTTATAAAGCTATATTAAAGTTGAGCCCCCCCAACACGTTACCAAAAGACTGATAATAATAACAAAGTAAGCAAACAAAAAAGATTTCCCACTGTAGCAATTTTAAGTTAAATTTAAAATCAAACACCTCCACCACTGCTACACAAACTCCCACATTAGAATCCAAACTGCTACAAAAAGTTTCTTGTCATAGGAAGGATAATGACACTTACTTATTTCTTTATCTTGTTTGTCTACAAATTAAAGAGAAATAAATAGATATTGTTGTTAGGTGTTTCCCTTTCCTTATGTTTTATTTCTCTTTATCATCAATACGACAGTGAAGGCTGAGAGAAATCTATCTCCTTTTCAGGACATCAGACAAGAGGATCCAGGGCTCTCTTCTGATTTTAAATCTGTGACTCTATTGCTTATCAGTTTTTCAAATTAGATTTTGGTGTGAAATCTATCAGATTTAGCGCTTCCCCACATTTTATACAATTACATTAAAGCCCACAAA